GGAGGAGGAGGAGGAGGAGGAGGAAGAGGAGGAGGAGGAGGAGGAGGAGGAGGAGGGGAGGAGGAGGAGGAGGAGGAGGGGAGGAGGAGGGGAGGAGGAGGAAGAAGAGGAGGAAGAAGAAGAGGAAGAGGAAGGAGGAGGAGGAGGAGGAGGAGGAGGAGAAAAAGAAGAAGAAGAAGAAGAAGAAGAAGAAGAAGAAGAAGAAGAAGAAGAAGAAGAAGAAGAAGAAGCAGCAGCAGCTTTTCTTGAAGAACTGGGTTCAGAAAATGTAGCCAGATAAAGGCATGAAAGTCAAAGAAGAGTAAAAGAAAAAGAGAGAAACCAAAAGCAGCACGGACAGAATGAAAGTCTTAAACAGCATGGAAAATATAGAGTGAGAAGAAGCTGCAGGAGAAACAGGTCTGAACAGAAGCTCAGGAGTCCTGTCATTCTCCCAGTCTCCCTAACTAACAATAGGTGCACTAAGACCCTGATGATGACCCTAAGCCAGGAAGATATTCACTCCTTCCCATTTCTCCTAAGTATAAGCCTGGCAACAAAGACCTGTTTACTCCTGTCCCAGTTACCTTGCTCACAAAAAAAAATCAAAGCACAGCCTTGAGCCTGACCACAGTGTCCCACGCTACTCGTGGTCAGAGCCTACTTCCTAGACTCAGGTCTGGCTGACCTTCTTGAGCGATGGGGAAATGCGGCCGAGGACAAAGGTTTTCTTTCTACCAAGTGACTCTCTTCACAAGCTCCCAACCTGCACCTCGCACACCCTGGCAGCTGTGCCACTTTTCTTGGCTTCCCTTCCCTATCCTTAGTCCTAGTGAGGTCCTGCGGGCGGGAGCAGGCAGACCTTGTCAGTGTGCCAGCTCCCTGATCAGCCACCCGTGCATTTTTTTCAGAACTCTGAGTGGAGCACAATGGTCAGCTGGTGTTCTTTATTCGAGTTTATGTGTTTGTCTTTATGAAAGATTGTTTCTGCCCCAGATATTGCAAAATATATGCCTGCCACTCTGGATGCCCTGTGCCTCCACCTGCTCGGATTGCAGCCTCTATCCTTGCGATCTTAGGGTCTCACCAGAACCACAACCTTAAGCTCATTCCCGGTCAGATTCCCAAACCCATCCCTATGGAGCCCCTTAATGACAGCGTGCATGGCTACAATACTCTCAGTGTTAAGGAGCACTGGTAACTGTTTAAAAAAAAAAATGACTCTCTGATCTATTCCGGGGCACTGCCATCTGGAGAGCACTGAATTTAAAATCTGGGCACTGTACCTCAAAGCAGTAGGGTAGGGTGAATTGCCAATGTGTCACGTGAGCGATTCCAGCTTGCAGGCCCATTTAAGCCATTTGCTTTCTGTGTTACTTTGGTCCCTGACTCTCAGTTTCCTCATTTGAAGATATTTAGCATAACGCCTGATGCATAACCAGTCCCAGCAAACAGCTGAGTCACAAAAAAAAAAAAAAAAAAAAAATTGGATTCTAAACGCCCTTGGTCTCTTTCCTCAATCTCTTGGCCCTACTGGGTTAAGTATAAAAGACGTAAGTGTTGCTGGACATGACCCATGGAGGATGGAGGGTGGGGTGGCTGCAACACAAAGTCTGGTACCTCAAAGTACAGTAGGACCCCAGTCTTGACCCCATACCATCTCCAGTTGATAACCAGGGGATCATTTTCAGAATCTGCATCTTAAATGAATACCACTTGAAACCTCCAGAACTCCTGTGCCCAAAAAGCATACCTATGTGTCCTTGGTCACAGAGCCTTCGTTATAATACCACAGGTAGGCAGACTCACTGGAATGGGCAAAAGTCACTCTGAACTCATTATATGAGCTGCTAGTATAGAAAGCTGAAGCAGATGTGATGGAGTGTAGGCAGGGGACTGTGGTAGAGGAGAGTGAGACCCAGTGGGGTGTACCCCAGCTTGTGGTCCCCTATTAATTATCACTAGTACACACAGGCACCTCACCCTTCCCTGCCAGTCACTGTACCTGGCAAAAGCTTTTTCTTGTACTGATCGACCTATGACCCATCTCAGTGCTGATTCCGGAAGTCTCATTAATAACCCTCCTTTGTTCAGGAGTCCACTGCAGTTACCCGTGTGAATTAGCCATACTTCCTAATTTTTCTCATAGCCTGGTCTTATGTCTGAGATAGGAGGGAGAATTCACATGCTGCTTGCAAATGCCTCCCTCAGTAAGCCCACCCACCTACGCTAGTTCCCAACTCAGAGACTATAGAGGACTACTGACGGTGGTTAGTTTGCCTCATGTTCTTGCTTGCCCACTAAGGGTTTCTGGATGTAATGTCTGCGCCCACCGAAAACCGCAGCACAGGATGTGGGAATGGCAGAC